GACCACATGAGCAAAGAATCTTATAGCAGCCGGATCTAGATAATGGGTCATATTTCTCTCTAAAAGAATGACGCCCAGCTCTAACGATGTCCATCATATGATGGACGAAAGATCAGCACATTTTCACCCGAAACGAGGGAGGAAGTCCCGTGGACTGCGTTAACATGAATATCCTATACAATCCAGTACAACGAGTTTCATCCGTCCTCATCTGGTGAGATCGACCAACGAATCTCTTCTTCATGCACTTTCAAATGTTATCTCAGGAGATTCATCGAAACCCAGTTTTTCTTTGTATCTACTTTGAATAAGAATACTTTTTAGGAAGCAACAGTAAGAGAAATCTAACCCTTCGTATCTTAATAATTATTAGTTTTGTTTGGTTATCTCAGGAAATTCATCGAAGCCCAGTTTTTCTTCCTATCTATAGTGAGATAGTTGATTAAGTAAACAATTATTCTTTGCACAAAATAATAGTCAAAGCTGCAAAGCAATTTTCATTCAGTTTTGATGATACCAACTTTTTATCCTCATGTGGTGAGATCGACCAACGAATCTCTTCTTCATGCACTTTCATACGAAATGAAGGTCCCCCTAACAATGTTATACACTTTCATACGAAATGAAGGTCCCTCTAACCTCTTCATATCTAAATTCAATTCAATTGAATATTAGGGAAAAACATAAATATCATTTCTTAAATCATATAAATCGACTCGAGGGCCCAGACCCCTATTCTATTTTGCATTGCTCTATCCATCCACGAATGTATAATATGACATTGGTGTATGTGTGCATCTTATTATTCAGCAGAATGGTCATCTACTCCCCTTCTAACTTGAGGAGGTATCAAAAAATATTCGGCAGATGTATTTTGTAAAAACCTAGCAAGCTTACCACCCAATTACAACACACACACACACTCACACACACATATAAATATAAATATATATAGATATAGATATATATAGCTAATCGAAGAGCTCTACATCCTCCCTTGTATGCATGCTGTAGCTACGCTCTCCTACCTGGTCCCGACCGTATGCTTCTGCGAACACGCTCTACCTACTCTTGCATCGCAGCCGCTGTCTGGCCGAGAGGTGGACGTCCACTCGTCAGCTTAGTCGTGATAACTGAGCTGTTTGGTGCTCTCGTCCTCTATCTCATATTACTCGGTCAGTCGGCGGCCAGCCTTCTCTCCCATCTGCCTGGTCTGGCCGAATGGCCGCCGGTAGTCTGGACTCTGATCGTCTGCTATGTTCAGCTGCCGCTGCTTATGTGGCCTCGAATGAAAGTAGTCGCGTGGTTCACGGTGGTCGCAGTCTTCGGCCTCCTGATCAGCCTTGTCTGCGTCGTCGTCTGTTGCATGATGGCTCTTCCTGGCGGAGAGGTGCGCTGGTCCAATCTGCCGCAGCCGGAGCCGACCAAGTTGCCCGTCAGTTTAGGTAGGGGCTGTAGAGCACTACTTACCAGCACTACTTGCCAACACTACTTTTGGTATGCATGAAAAACATCGGATTCAACAGGAAAGCAGGCAATTTCTGAAATACCACTTGATTTTTGGTGTCCATCTTTCGCTTATGGATTAAGATTACTTGATAGTTCCGCTCCCGTTATTGTGTTAATTGATCTATAGACTATTCTATTTTATAGATAAATGACAACAATTAGACTTAGATGCAATGTTTTTAATAAAATGTATCCTGTTTGGCAAAGAGTTAGTATTCTATAATTGACAGCATCAAAATCCCATTGTTAGCAGACAATACAATCATGAAATGGACTAAATCGTCTATTAAGAGCTATAGTTACTCTGGATTGCTGAATAGGAATAGAGACAGATAGGTCAATTTTCCAACAGTGCCACGAGTAAACATCTAAACGCCATTGAAGCCCATTCATCCTTTCCTCTTAAAAAGTCTTCTTATCCAGACTGGACAGCATTCATAACTTCGCCTGGGTCTAATCATTATTATTGTGAGGTTTAATCTTGTCATTGTTGGAAGGTTCATCTTTCAACCATTTATCACTTGATGCAAGCTGGTACATCTAAAGTTCACATTCAAGATCTACAGGTAGTCCTACCTTTGCGCAAAGGTGACCAATGCAATTGATAATAGAATTTGAGTTAGAATTTTACTTTTGATCCGGTTGATCCCCCAATAATGGTCCTTTTAAAAATTGAATTTTACTGAGCACTCTATCACATATCGGCTCTTGCATCCTTATTGTGAACAGCCTCAACCCCTCAGCGAGATTCAAGTTCAGAATACTCGGGTTTAGAGGACAGGTATCTGCGTTTGTATCCAACATGGGGTGCCAATTTTACCAATTTGCAGTCAAGCGCTCAGCTCACTTTGGTCACGAAACTTCATCTAGGATAGCATACGACACGGGTATTCATTGTATACTATACCACTTCGTAAAATCAAATCATATTTACACCCTTACCCAATTATAAAAAATCGAGGTTTTTGGACTTTCTCTATTTTTATAACGATTAAATTATTATAATATGGCCGTTTAAAATATCACTTATCTGATTAGTGACCAACCAATTATGCGTCTTATTGCCTGAAAAAGATTTAAAATAGTTTTCTCAGCCAAATTATCTCTCATATAACAAATCCGTGCCTCATCTTCAGATGCCACAAGCTCGCAACTTTCCTTCTCAGCCTATTTTGCCACAGGAGCGAGCTGTAGACAAAAGTATGAGTTGCAACAAAACTCTCCTATCTCCCAATATTGCCTTTCATGTTTTTGTCACATTATTCTATCATAATAATATAAATGCCTTAATGTTTATTACTTCGTGAACTACGTTTTAGGAAAAATTGGGATGACAAATTATGTATGCTATCATATTCATCTTTCACTATCTCTATAACCATTATTTTTCGTCACCGTTATTTGCCTACCGGCTAATTCCGTTAGTGCATGCGTTTACACTATACAAGGAAAGAGCACTTGTCAACGAATTTCCTGAGATAACATTAGAATGGAGTCTTTCATTTTGTATGAAAGTGCATGATGAAGAGATTCATATGTCTATCTTACCAGAGGATGACGGTTGATTTTCTTTGTAATACAGCCGTTTGTAGTTAAAACGACGTTCATTTTTACTCACTCCATGAGTCATCCTTACTCATTTCGTGATTCTTGATTCATTCTCGCAAAAGTCTCAAGCTAACATTAAGCCACAATGACTAGCCTGCTATCTCCTACATCATTTGCATATCCTTATAACGAGAAAAGAACTTAGATATAGATGGATATATAAATGTCTGTT